AGGATCAGAATGCCCCCTGGGTGAGCGGTTCCCCATCTCTCTTATGCCCTCAAGAATGGGCGTCGTTACACCCGGATTGGCCAAGACGGGAACCACCAAGCTGCTCTCCATCATTGTTGAGGAGTTAGTCCTCATCCTTCCCATGCAACAGGTGAACTGAATGAACTTCTAATCAACCCAGAGGAATGTTTGCAATTTATCCAAAATACAAAAGGGAAAAGGAAAACCAAACAGCAGCACAGCTGAATGAATGAATGAAGGAACGACTGCTACACCCATGCATGAACAGACACATATCATTAGATTACTTTGATCCTGCAGAAAACTTAAAATACACTCCTTAAAACTTCCGAACTTGCCTGAGAATCATTATGATTTTAAGTGGATTTATGGATGTTTAATCATGATCGATGTGATATCCTTGCGAAGTCACACTTTATCTGTCTGTGACATGTTTGTGTTCAGGCAATCGGGAGCTAAGGGTTAACCAAAATTCCACGTTGTTGTCAGAACACCAGCATGCACGTCTCTTTAACCTCCTGCAGTGCCTTTGCCTCCCGTCTCCCTCTGTGCCCCAAATATTCAGCACGGCACACCTCACGGTTTGACAAGAAAATTGTATTTTTTTCAATTATGTTAAATAAAAAAAATAACACCTGTCACTATTTTACGGCGCTTTAGAGTGTTTCCACTTTTAAATTAGTGTATTTTCCAGATGTTATTGTCTTTTGTTTCACATGTATCTATACTCAAGGTACACTGAGTTTCAAGGCAGCATAAGAAAGTCCATGTTTTGTATTCCACTGATTCCCCCACCACTGAAACCTTGAGAATGTATAGATAGAAACTCCACACACAACGCAAAACCAAAGTAATAATTACTATACTGTAAGTGTTTCATTAACCTTGCAACTCCATCAGCAACCAGTTCTAAAATCAATAGCTGAGACTGAGCTGTAAAACTACGCTGTGAATTCAGATTCTGTGATTCGCATTCTTGTGAGTATCTGGTGTTGGCTCAATGTGAGACTGATCCAACATGATGGGTGACTGTATTTAAACAGAGAGTGGTCGTGTGTGTGTGTGCGTCAGTAACACACAGGATGTGATAGCACGCTCTGGAATGCAGATAAGAAGCACGACACACAAACTAACGCTTGTTTCCAAAGTGGAGTCTAGTGTTATAATATCTGATAATTGCATTGAGATCATATCGTTATCTGTTCCAGAAAGGAAGTACTTTTGTACCAAAACAGGGGGATTTGATTATTATATGCTGCTCACTTTACTGTTAGGGCTTCCAGATCCTTTTCACTTGTGCCCTCCAATGTAGCAGGGGTGTGTCCAGACTTTTTTGACTGGGGTGGCAACAAGTATGTGTCTCAGCTTTCCAGTCATTCCCAATTTCTGCAATTCTAATACTGTTTAGGGACCCCAGTCCAAATACATTAGGAGATAATAACACATTATTGCCAAAAACTACATGGGATAATCATAAAGTGGGCATGTCTCCAAAAGGGAAACTCGTGGTGGTCAGAGGTCAAGGAATCTCTTTGGAAATGGCCATGCCAGTTTTTCCATTGCTAAAATTTTGCCTAACTTTGCGCCCCTCTTGCCGACATGCTAACATGCCATGGTTGGTTCCAGTGGATGCGTAAGGTCATCTAGGTTCATATGATATAAGTATCTTCACTCTATCCTTGAAAACAGAGCCCACTACAGTCTTTGAAACACAGGGAGGGAGGGATAATGGGGTGGCACTTGGGGTGGGTAATCAGATTTCACCCCAGGCCCCCCTTCTGGAAATGCCCCTGGTATGTAGCAGACCTCGGTGCACCATGCTTACTGCCATGTGCCCAACAATTTTAAAAATGGTGACTAGTCTTCAGCTGCGGGTGGCAGTGAGGATGGAGATGACAGGTATCACAAAGCTGCAGGTAGCAGAGGATTTTCTCAGCAGGCTCCATTTCTTTAAAAAAAAGGTTCCCATCCACAATCAGAGGCAGATTTTCATGTCCTTCAAACTGGCTGTGCATTTTCCTTCGCTCCTCTGAACATAGAAAATGTAAGATACGAGCATTATGGTTGACTTGGATGTGCGTAAATGTACCTCTAACTGCCATTTTCACACTTTTCTGAAATGTTGAATTACAATATCTACAGTAAGGATGCTTTTAAACATGAACACCTGACAGTTTCCTGAAGCTTTTTTGAAATCTTCTTTTATATCTGTTCCTTTCCTTGAATACATTTTGCATTATTTGGGGTTATTTTGGCCACTTGGGGGCAGCAGAACGAGCTGTATAAAGTTTTTGTAGTCTACATATTAGCAAACAACTACCTATTTACACTTTAAACAGAGAGCCACATTAGCATTCACCTGGAGTCGTATTCTGGCCACCTGACAAAAGTCCAATATTTACTCTCCTTTCTGCTCTGTTTTAGTCTCCGGCAGCCACTGAGAGAAATATCTGACTCTGTTAATGCTCCACTTTGTTCACCAGCTTGTTGCTAATGTTGTTTGCTGTTTGGTGCTGGGCAGGTAGTGCACAGAGCAGACAGCCACTGCCTGCAGCTGCAAAGGTTGATGAGAGCAGCGAGAATGAACCAAAACAGTAAAGTCGCGTCGAATAACCAAAACAAAGAGCTGAAAGACGCTAGGACAGAGCTGAGAGGGAGTTTTGGTGAATTTGGGGATAATTCTGTTTTTCATTCAGTGATTCATTCACTGTTGATATAAAAATGATTGATTGGAGCAGCTTTAAAGGTTGTTTATATGGTTGTAAACAGGAAAAATAAATTCCCTTTGCCAATAGACATTTGTACATCATACATAACGGTGAGTTTATGTTTAACAGCTTCCTGGTCCAGTGTCTGGAATTTAGTTGCTGCGCGTCCTGCTTCCTGTCACTGTTTATTCATGTGGTCGCTCTCTGTGACTGCTCTGCTGTATGACTAAGGGACTTTGGGGAGTTTGTCTGCTGCTGCATGTATTGGTGTGTCTCCTATCTCGTTTCATTTCAACCTGTCTGCAGTGTGGCACATCAACACCTGTTAACATCTCTGAGTCCCTCCCTTCTCATGTCCAATGCTAGCTGATATCCACTGGACCAAGACGGTGCTGATGTCCTCAGGATGTCCACCCCAGTGCTCACACTGTTTATTCTGCAAATTCTGTTATTAAAATTTTATCTGACTTGGCGCAAATGGTTGGTGGTTTTGGCTCTGTTGCACACCTGAGTGCCTGGAGGGAGAGTCTGTCTCTGTGAGGTCTTTTGTGAGGTTTCTCTCTCTTTTTTGTGGTGGTGATTTTAGGCTATTTTGTTTTCTGTAACAGGTCTTCTTTCAGACTAGTGGAAAGAAAATGCCCAAAATACGCATTTAGGGCTTTATTATTCTACACATTGTCTAGTTGTGTCTGTAGTTAGCATAAGATAATTCCTCATTTGCATATTTAAACAGAAAAAAATATTGTTTGGAGAAATTTTATGGTAATATCTATTAAAGTTTTAGTAGTGTTTTGCAAAATGTAGTTCATTTTGAAGTTGTATTCCTATCTATATTCTGAACTTTTTTTCTGAGGGGTTTGTTTATATATAATTCATATTTAAGTCAGATTTATGTAAAAAAAAAAAATGGTCCTAAAACCATGGCAATGTTTTTGTTTTTATGGCTGTTGACAGTATTTTCTGATTTATAAGTGATAAAAAGAGAAATTCCGTCTGTTAAAACCTTTGACTCTAATATGAAACAAGTATTTTGAACCTGGCTTTATCCAATGTTCAGATTTCTGTTCTGCAATAAATGAACATTAGTGCATATTAAATTAGACAATTTCTCATCTGAATATTTAAAAATATAATTTTATGGTTATATCACTTTCATCTTGACATATAGTTTATTTTCTTTGACTTTATTCACGTTGTTTTGCAAAATGTGTGGAATTAAAATTAGTTTTCAAACTCTCGAACCCAGGGCAGAAACTTCCACTTCAGTAGCACTCACATACACCAAACCTCCAGTCTTAATCCTATCTATATTCTAAAGGACTTTACAGACGGGGGTTTGTTCATATATCATTCATAGCCTGATTCATATAACATTTTATTCCTGAAAACATGTCAAAAATGCATTTATTTATGGCTGTTAAAAATTGAAGAGAGATCCTCTGTAAAATCCAAAATGAAGCAAGAATTGCTTCCTCCGATGTTCAGATTTCTGTTCTGGAAATGTATACAAATGAATGCATGTTTAACTAGACAATTCCTTATTTGCATATTAAACTTGTAATACAAATAATAACAACCTCAATGGACGTAATCCACTGGAGAAGTCTTAGGGTGGTATCTATTAGTTCAATTTTTGACTCTATTCACCCTATTAAGTGACAAAGGACCCGCTGGACAGCATAGGAGGACTGAACATCACACAAACAAACTTAAACAAGCAACAGGTACTATCACAAAATGGTTTATATGCACCGTTTCAGTTTATGAGCACGCCCTAAACAAAGTCTGAGTGTGTGAGTATGTGTGTGTGTGTGTGTGTGTGTGTGTCAGAGTGTGAAATCAATCATTTGAATAGTCATAACACTGGAAATAAGCTCTTTCTTACTTCCACAAGGAGGGCGCCTTAACTGATGGCATAAACAGAGAAGAGGCTGTCTGTCACGCCTGAACATCCCGGGCAGCGGTGGTAATATAACAACATCTCACACACACACACACACACACACACACACACACACACACACACACACACACACACACACACACACACACACACACACCCACACACACACACCACCCTACATAGAGGTAAAAATAACACTTCCTGCTAACACTTTTCAAAGATTTCGACTCTCATGTGGACATGTAGATCCCAAAAGGTTTTAAAAGCTCAGACAGTACTCACACAATACAAACAGACAGAGCTATAAAATCATCTCTTTGATCAGACACAGTTGGGAGGTTTTTTTAGATATTAAAGCAACAACCTACCAAGAAAAATGATGGTCTGCTTCCTGGCTGTCTTGACTTTTGAACTTTCGTGCTTGGGTGGTCTTTGAATTCCGTTGAGGCCGCCATCCATGGATCCTGTTCCCAAAGGCTTCCGAAGCACGAGGATCATGGCGCGGCACATGAAGGCCACGCAGATCAACACGACCATGTAGACGATGAAAGCCACAAAGATGCTGCTCCTGTACATCACCCAGCGCTCCCTCAGATTGGTACAGAAGGTCAGATTCTGGGCGGGAGTGTCAGCTCGGAAGGGGATGTGCCCCTGAGTTCCCGTGGCAATCAGCAACGGCAGGGCCACGAGCACGGACACCAGCCAGGCGAAGGTGATGAGGGCCGAGGTACGTTTCCCGCCCAGCGCTTTGAAGCGAAACGGGTGGCAGATAGCCACGTAGCGCTCAAAGCTAAGCGTGGCCACGTTGAGGATGGTGGCGTAGCTGCAAGCCTCGAACAAGAAGTTGTAGATCTTGCAGGAAGTGTTTCCTGATGCTGACGTGAACGGGAACCAGATGGCGCTGTAGAGCTCCACCGGCATGCCGATGAGGAGCACCAGTAAGTCCGAGCACGCCAGGCTGACCATGTGGTCGGTCACGTTCTTCTGCAGATAGCCGTTACGCTTCAGCACTTGTGTCACTCTGATAGTGACTGAATTACCCACGATACCCGTCACCAGGATGAGGCTGTAAAGGATTGTCAGGAAGATTTTGACGGGGTAGTTGGGTTCAAGCTCGCTCCAGTCTTTCTGTTCTGCTATCTCTGCTTCCTCGTTCATGGTTTCAGAGAGGTGAGGTTTTCCAGGTATTGTTTTTCTTCCTTTAGCTTATCAGCTCTGCAGGGCGCAGTCCGGGTGATCAGAGCCAAGATCCAGAGGTGAGCAGGTTTCCAAGAAAACAACTTGTACTGAAGACTTTTCTTCGTCTGGAAGTGCTTCTGATTCTTCAAGGAGGGTATTCCAGTTGGCGGGGAACTCCAAATCACAGTAGGTGTGTCATTTCAGGACACAGTACAGTAAACAACAGCACTACTCTTCAGTACTATGTTCTAAATAGTCAGTGTCTTACCCCCAAAAGTCCAGTGTGGGGCCCCAAGCCTGGTCCATCTCCTCCCATTCCTGATGATCATCTGGGGTCCCGGAGAGTCAGAGCAGGTCCTGCTGTAGTACACAGTCGGTGGTTTAACCTCAGTCTGAGCAAAGTGTTAGCCAACACTTGAATCAGATTTCCCCCTCCCACCTTTGAGGGCAGGGCAGTTAAACATTAACCCTTGTGCGCTGAAAGACTACGTTTAGTATGATAAGGGAAAATGTCATAACATTTGTTGTGATTGGTGTCAATCTACATACAAGTTTTTAGACAACATGAAAAATCCCACTGTTATCTTCAAAATGAAACATTGTGTTTACTAAATGTTTTCCATATGAAATATACTTTTTACACTCCAAATTTGTGCATCTCTTTGACATTTATCTTGTTATGAGTTTAGAGATACTTGTTTATCCTAGTAGTTTTTTGTAGTTTCTGAGATATAGCCAATTTTTTATTAAACTATATTTTGTCTTTCCAAAAATGGTAGAAAATGCCCTGGAATGAGCAATAAAAATGGAGGGATTTTTATTATTTTCAGTACACACAAGCAACAGGCTTTTGTCTATTCATATTTCATATAAATAAAAGCTGCACACATCTATTATTAGTCCTACAGCAGGTGAAAACATTAGCTCGAAGGCCCATTCTCCATTAGTTTAATGGCCATTGAATCGAATGGAGAAAGTGAGTCAGTTTGCTTCTGCTAGACCTCAGATCTTGCTATAACTTCTAATTCTCAAATACATAAAAGTACCACACATACACACACACAAACACACCCGGTTGGCCATTTGCAGGCACAAATGAGTTGAACACAGCGACGGGCAGCATCAGTGCTGTGGATTTCATTTCTTATCATGAGTACTAATCTACCTCCCTTTCACAGAAACACTTTTGCTCCAAGTTATAGTTGAGATTAGAAACAGGGTGTAAACCACAGGGAAGCAAGGGAGAGCGGGGGGGCTGGGCTCTTCTTAATAAAACATGAGCTCCCCCTGAAAACATGTTTAAAATTTTGGGGAGGGTCTCTAAATTACTGACAATATGCTATTTTTGCCATGCTTTCTATATCTGCTTCGTCATGGATTATGAGTAAAATTAGGCTACTTTTGATGTATGATTTGTGCACGAGGGTGATTCATCACTAATTCACTTTAATAAAGATACTGCTGTTCTTGCCATCACCACTGAAGTGTGGCTGCACAATATCATTAACTCCACTTCAGAAATTATACATAAAATAAACATTCCTTGTTCCACTCAGTCTGTGCGTCGAATCGCCATTAATCATTTCTCTACTTTGCAGTCAGCATAGTGTGATTGAAATATAGTTAAATACACACAAAGACGGTTGTAACTTTGGAACTGATGAGAAAGAAAAAACTGCTGTGATCCTTAGCGTGACATTCACCTTAAACATGCCGGAGAAGTCAAAAGTGGATGAGGTAGTCTTTGCAGGGAAGTTGAAAAGTTCAAACAGGAACCAGGGCCCGGCTGAAATAGTCCAGACCTTGCATATTTTCCACTGAGTTCATATCACCAGGCCTGCAAGAGATAGTGTTCATATTAATAAAATGCAACTCCTACAGAAACAGAATTATGATTTGGTGATAACGTCTGAACGGATGATCAAGGCGTGGAGCTCTTACACTGTAAAACCAGATAAGTTCATTTAACTAAAAAAACAAAATGTTGAAACAAAAAGTACAACTAACAAAAATACTTAAAGTAAAGTAAAGTTATTAATCAGGAATGTTTCTGTAACTTACAGAACAAATGACTTGTTGGGCTTAATCAACTTTTGATGTAATAAGTTTCTACTGTGTCTTCCTGTATTTCAAATATACTGAAGTCATTTTTTCCTTTAAACACTGAGAAGAACATTGGCTGCATTAATCCTTTAACCATCAGTTTGTCATTCTCAGATAAAAAGACACATAATCGCTTGTGCTTTAACAGACAAAGCTGAAGTGACATCTATGGGTTGAACCTGATTAGATAAAAGCTTTGAGTGCCCTCTCGCTGTGATTGAATATTGTTGGATACCGTCAATTAAACCACCGCGCTCTGCGTGGCTCCTCACTGTCAGCCAGATGTTAACTGTCAAAAGTGAGGAAAATAAAATCAAGGTTGATTGCTCAGCAAGCCTCTTAATTCCCGTCTCAGATCTCATCTGAATTAGGCCTTCATATGCCTGCGTGTAATCATGATATGCTTTCTTATACCTCAATAATGAGGTGCTCATGTGTACGAGATTGCATGACATTGTCTTTATGACTGAGATAAACACATCACGGTCAGTGCTGCGTGCTAGAAATCATTCACAGCTGTTAGATGTTAAAGGAAATGAGCCAACATAAAATGGTTGAGAAGGGCTTAACTAATGCCTAATTATTTACATTATAAAACCAGTCATGCACTGGAGCGATAAGGACGACTTCCAGCCCACGTAGAGAAAGAAACGAAAGGAAAAAGTCTTACACACTCGAGCCTCCACTTGACACTGAGAGGATCAAAAAGGGACACACTCTAGGTTGACTTGAAATGCCTCAGGGAAGATATACTCTGTACTCGACAGGAGCTAAAATGTCTCCTCCTTTATGCAACGGCAGGTTTTACTCAACATTTAGGCCACTAGTCTGCTTAAATGTGATGTTTGTGGTTGCGAGGCATGCTGTGTTTGCAGGCATTCAGCAGCACAACTGACGTTCCACGAGACTGTTTTTGGCATCTTTTCTCTGAATTCATAGCCATCACGCAGCAGTACACACTGAAAGTAATATAAAAGCTATGTTTAGCGAACCGAGTCATGTTTTCATACAACCTTATGAAAGAGAATGCAGGTGCTTTTTTTTTTAGACCCGGGCAAACACAAGACGAATGGCCCCGAAGAGGTGAATGTGTGTGAATACGGCTTCTTTCAGCACAGTCTCTAAGTGGATACGATTGCAAGCTCTTCTCTGTGTGTGTACACTTTTCTTGGTGAAGTTGTTAAATTATTTTTTTCAGTTTGATAGACAACCAGAATCCAACATGATTTCCAAAGTCTGACAGTAAATAAAAGTACTTTCAAACTATTTCACAAAGAAAAACAAATGCTGTGTTTACGATCACTCTGTATTTACTCTATAATGAGATGCAGTTAGTGTCCGCAGTTTTATTTGTAATGTAAAGTTCTTATTGTGTAAATGTATCCTCTGTATAGTAGGGCTGCAAGAGACAATTTATTGATTTCTTTATGTAAAAATGTCAGAAAATGGTGAAAAATGTGTTTTCTATGTGTAGCTATTTACAAATGTGAGTGGATTGTTGTGTAACTGTATCTCAATCTGTGTGTGTGCGTAATTAGATGTGTAAATATGTACTGAGTTTTGTGAATGTGTAGATAAATCTGGGTTCGGTTTAGGTTTGTCGACACATTTTCAGATCTATATATGGATTTACAAACACCAGCTTACTGTCACAGAGGAAAAAGAAAAGAATAATCACATTTTAGAAGCTGAAATCAGAGTTTGGACATTCTTAAGAAATGAGATTTGATTAGGAATCAGAAAATCATTAATCAATTATCAAAATAGTTTGTTCACTCATTCGCTAATCCCTATATAATGGGCACTAATAGTTTACTGAGGTATTTCGGACACAGCCAGAGTCTACAGCCATGCTGGATTGGATTTAAACCGACAGCTGCTGGATGAAAACAACACTTTGGTAAGTTGCAACCATTTTTTTCATTTTCAAAGGGATCCCTTGACCTCTGACCTCAAGATATTTGAATGAAGATGGGTTCTGTGTGTAAACAAATTACAGCTGAGACTGATGGGCGTCAGTAGCTTTGCTGGTATTTGATCATAATGATAATGAATAGTGATGGTCTTTATCTAAAGAGTAAATGTTAAGATATCTCGCTGGATAAATAAAGGTTTGACCTGCTGGTGGCACTAAATGAAAAGAATTGTAAGACCACAATGTCTGCAGAATATGATGTCAGTGTATTTTGGTGCTAACTGACCACAACCAATTCAGCAAGCATAGCTAAAATAATGCCACTGGCAGTTTGACAACCACAGCAACAGTCAGTAAAACACTGCTGCATCGCGCTCTAATACTACCTTCACACTGTCACTGCTCTGAGTAAATAGGGAACTGGTTCATCCAGTTTACTTCAGGAGAACCTTCCAGGTAAACTTGTACTACAAACGGTGGATACGTTCGACCTGAGGTATATTGGAATAACTAACATCTTCATCACCGTCACAGTAGCATTTCACATCAGTTTAAGCAATCCTGTCAACCCAGGCTCTTTACTGATTGCATCAAAATTTTCAAGTGAAACAAACTCAGTTTATTAGGTTAAAAAAATCTTGATTAAGCCGCTTTAACAAGTAATTTGAAGTGGCACTAACTTAGTTTTGTAAGTTACAGAAACATTCCTGATTAATAACTTTACTAGGTAGTTTGTTTGTACACAGTACAACTTAAAATGATTAAACTTCTTGATCAAGAATGTTAATCTAAACTTTTAAATGTTGTTAATTTTACTTAAAAAAGTTAAAAGAACTTATCTGGTTTTACAGTGCTTGATGAACCAAAATTAAATGTGAGTAGGTTCAACTCCCTTCATAGTATAGCTGTCTGATGGTGGCGCTACAACCTACCATGAATCTGCACAACAGACCTGTTCATAAGGAGACAGTCAGGAGCAGACAGCAAATACACAATGAAATGATGCTGCTCTTACTAACATTTGCAGTGTTTCACCAGAAGCAGTACCTGAAACAGACCGGTACTCACCAGACCTGAGTACTGGTACTTTGTCCATGAGTACTCTTACTTACTAACACTTATTGCGTGCCTCAAACCACTGAGTGTAGGTATGCAGCCCTAAACACTTTCACAACACTCAAGTGTTTTTCCCCACAAGTTTTCTGCGATGACGCGCCCTACTCGGAAGCAGCAGGGCGGGGTTTTTGTAGAAAACTTGTGGGAAATGCGTGTGTGAAAAAAACAATGCTCTGTAAACACATAGCAGAAGTTTAACACTGAAAGAAATGGCACTGAAAATGTCCTGGTTAAAACAAATGCCAAAAGAGTTAGTTAGGGTTGTACTGAATTAGGATACTTGCATCTTTTTGGGTCCAATCCAGGCACTAGTTAAAAGAAATACGATCCTGTAGAGATACACCATTAAACACAGAGATTTAAAAAGATATATTTTAATAGTGCAGTGTAAGTATGAAAACAGACTTGCAAAATAAAAGTATAATTCAAGAGCTGAGGTTGATAAAAGGAAAGTTACTATTAGAGTCTTTTTCCTGGCCTTCTTTTAGATCTGACAACATCTTCATTAATGACACTTTAAAGGAATTGCTCGGATATGAAAGTCAAGACAAAGAACCTGAGAAAGAAAAAAAGATAATCGCGTAAAAATCATATACAGATTCCACAAGCACCGTTGATAAAAGATGAAAAATAAAAAATGTTTTTGAAGTCTAACCAGACAACATGGGAAAAAAATTACCACTTTGTAAACCAATTACCCTAAAACAAAAAAACTGTGACAGAAGGATGGACAGATTGGCAATAATGAACATGAACAAGACGAGTTTATATCTGTCGCTTAAAGTGCTCAACCCGTTCATTTACCTCCTCACTTCCTCGACTTCCTAGCTCCGTCAGCGGTGAGTGCCATAACAACACACACTCCATAAAGACGCACACGCACCGGACGTCTCCTGAGTGGAATAACGTTGACATTTAACCTTCACCTGTAGTGTTTTCATCCTGGATTACATGACAGACACTGAGGCCCGCTAAAAGAAAGGCTCTTTTCTCATCACATGAAATCACAAACACAGTAAATAAATCTTTTTTTTTTTTCTTCAGAAAATCATAGATCATATACAACAGTCCAATCAGTCGCAAAGTAAAAGAGAGAATTTGACTGCAATGCAAACTCTTCCTCAATGATACATAAAATATGAAGTGATAATCTCAAAAGGAGGAATCTGTAGTGGTCATAAACAAAAAACATCAATACTCTGTTAATGTGTCACTGTGTACAGTATTTACACCCATTTTGGAAAAGGAAACTGCTCACACAAGCAGACCGTTATTGCAGCAAGGCATTTTGTAGCTTATAGCGGAAGGCTTATCGTTTCATATTCAAACACAATAGATCACGTCTCTGTCACAGTTTGTCTTCATGATCCAGCGCTGTCAGAGGTACTGCAGGGAACGAGAAAATCTGTCTGCGAAGGGTGTGACGCTTTTCTCGTTCAAGCTGTAGTGTGATTTCATTTTTTTTCATTTCCGACGTACAAAAAGAAAATTAAGACTAATCCAAAAGGAAATAAAAAAAACGAGGGGATATTAAAATGTTAGATTCTATCAGGACAGTGTTATAATACCTCACACATAGAGGTCACTCAGAACGGTTCTGTCATTATCCGAGCTGCCAAGGCTGGTGACACGAACCCATCAGTGTGCAGCGCCAGATGGCACCGCAGATCCAGAT